CCAGCAACAGATTTTAACAACTCGAGACTGCAATGAGTGATTTTCTGGCTTCAGCGTAGCCTGAGGCCTCGGAGATCCCAGCTGGGAGGTTGGGAGCAGGACCTCAGTGAGAGTCTGCACCCCACCCCAAGAGCGATGTTTAAGGGGCGCTTTTAAGCCTTTACCTCGGGGATCTGAGAGAGGAGGCCCGTGGGGCATAGTAGCTGCTGTCCCTCGGGCTCCCAAAGGCGGGATTTGCTGATCCTTCCTGGGCAGCCTGGGGATGGGTTGGGGGTGGGGGCGCAATCCTAAGGGTGCTAAGAACTGTCGCCTTATTCTTAGAGAAGCCCCGGGCTGGAAAGGTCTCCTAGTGACGAGAAGTAGCCTAAGAGAAATCCTTAATCCGAAAGGTCCCTTTCCCACCCCCGCCGCAGGCAAACTAAGACAGGGGCACTGGAGAGGGTAGTAGAGGACGTCATCTGATTCGTGGGCACCTTTTTCCCTTATGGTGCTGATACAGAAGTCAATTCAAACTTTGGCCACTAACCATTACATTTGTTACGAGATTCCTTTTTGTTTTCTTTCTTTCTTTCTTTCTTTTTTTTTTTTTTTCTTCCCTTCAAAATACCATGTTTCCACTGAGAATTGAAGGTAACAGGGTGGGGGGGATTAAGGAATAAAAGTGAGTCACAGACCTCATGCTGTTCGACTTTCCCTCCAGGAGAAAAACAAGATTCGAAGCCCACCCTCCCCCTCGCAATGGCCTTGGCGGCCCTGGCACCTGCACTTATCTTTGATCCAATGGGTTGCACTTGGTAGGGCTCCTTTATTTGAATTTGCTTATTGTTTGTTTGCAGTGGACAGCAGGTTGGATTTTAAATCTAAAACACACTACTTGCAAGAGAAGAAATCCGGCCGACTGTCTACCTCCCTTGGTTGTGGGGACTGCTGAATAGTAGAGGGCCTTTCGAACGTGAGCCTTGCTCCTCATGGTCTCCTGCCGCTTCTGCCTATAGACTCTTCCTCTGACGTCCGGATTCGGTTCCGTTTAGTTCGAACTGCTTCCACCAGAACGGCCCTTTCCAAATAGTTTCTAGATTTCCTTGTGATCGGGCCACACACACACACACACACACACACACACACTTATTTTATTTTAAAGTCTCGTGTTGCTATTAACAGGCAGTTACGAGGAGATGCTCCAAGCAGTCCTGCACAACGCGTCCCACGGCCGCGGAGCACTACGGCTTCACGCGTAATGAGAATTGGTCCGAGACAAATCCTATAATCTGTAGTTTCAGAGCGTAACGCCCAACAACATTGGGGTGGGTTTTGTTTGGGATTTTGCCCCCTCCATCCCACGGGCTCCCCATCTTTTGTATCACGCTAACCCGAGAGCAAAAGTGGCGACCAGGGAGCCCGGAGCTGACGGGGCGAGGTCAGTTAAGGAGAGAAAAGCGGAAGTTCAGGGCCCACTAGTCGCAGATCAGGGCATGCAGATACGGGACGGGGGCTGGGGCCCTTTAGTGGCACGAAAGCGAGAGAACTATCTGTCCTACGTAAAGATGCGGAAGGCAGGCCGCAGGCCCAGGTCATCGCCGAGCTCGACCCTGCATCTTCCCACTCTGGTTTGCTACGACGTCAGCCTCCATTTGCTTGGGATGCGCTCTCTCTTCAACGCCTTTCGGTTTTTCTTTTGCACGATTAAAACACGTCTCTGTATGGAACAAACCGCCACCTAACTCGGGCACGCCTGGTTTTGGATTACAGTATTGTCCGGGTAACGACAGCGAAGTTCTCTCAAGGTGTGAGGTGCGGATTCGAACCTGCGAGGTGCGCGCCCGGGCCAGCCGCCGGCGCACCCGCTTCTGGTTGAGTGGGGCGGATCCAAGCCCACGGCTCTGCCCTGCAGCTAACCCTAGTGGGCGGCTTGGTCCATCTGAGCTTCCCCGGACACCCAAGAGGCCGCTTCCCACCTGGAGAACCGGCCTCTGGGGCTGCACTGCTGCCTAGTGCTGCGCGGGATCCGAGAAGAAGCAGGACACTCAGCTGAGAAAACGAACTAGAGGATGTAGGAGAAAAGGGTGGAGAGGAAGGGACTCCTCAGTCATTCCCCGAAAGGCTCCGCTCGGTGTTGGGGCCCCAGACGAGGCTCGAAGCACCAAATATAACTTTTCTGAGACACCCCCCTAGCCGAAGCCCCCACTTTTCCGGGAGGACCCCCGGGGCCCCAAGGCAGCCCCAGCTGGGCCCCATCCGGCCCCACGTCTGTGCTGAGCGCAGGAGGCCGCAGGCGCGGCGGGAGCCCCCACGATGGCTGCGACGGCGGCGGCAGCCTCGCCCTCCGCAGGCGGGAGCAGGTCCCCTCGGCAGCCGTCTGCAGCGCTTCTTTCAAGGAGACGTGGAAAGCGAGCGGCCGCCTTGGGTCCCCTGCTCCGGGTGGGTGGGGCGGCTCGCGTTCCTCTTCTTCCGGCGCGGCGGTCGCTCGCTCCCGCCTCGGGGGCTGCGCCCCTGCTGGTGGGCTTGTCCCATCCGGCCACCCCGGGGCCCGCCTGGTCCCCAAACTGAGCCAGGCCATGCGGTGACCCAGACACTGGCGCCAGGCCTGTGGCTGCCCCGGTGGCCTTGATCCCAGGGCCTGGAAGGAGTTTCAGTGTTGGATATGGAGCCGGGAGAGACCACGCTCCCCTCCCGGCTCGCGGCGCGCACCCTCCGGTGGCGCCAGACCTTCCCGCGCCCGGGGCCCGGGGCCCAGGCGCTGCTGGCGCGGGCGCTTGGCCGTTGCCCCCGAGGCCTGAGAACCAGGCTGTGTGCAGTGGGCTTGGCTCGGGGGAGCTTCTGGTGGTGACCCGAAAGTGAGACGGCCGGAGGAGAGGGCCAGAGCCAGGCGAGAGGGCGAGCGGGAAGAAGCGAACCTCGATACCGGCCCGGCCTGCAGGGCCGAGAGGGCCCGGAATCCTGCCCCCGCGTGGAGAGCAGGCTCGGGCCACCCAGGGCAGAGCTGTGCTTTCCCGGGCAACTCCGGCTGGGGATTCAAGATTTAGACAAGACATTGCTTAAGAGACGGCGCCATGAGTCCGGCGGAGAGCTGGGCCGGCTCCCTGTGGGCCGCCATGTTCTCTCCGTCTGGCCCAGGGCCTCGCGTCCTCCGCCTGCAGCGCGGGGCTGAGGGTGGGGACACTCCCAGGAAAGGCCAGATTAGAGGGAACGGCGTGGGCGAGGAGTGAGGAAACTGACCATTATCTAAAACCTGGAACTTAATTGACTTGATTGAAATTCGCTTTTTATTTAAGAAGGGAAGAAACACTCCCAAGGTGAAATACAAAGGGCCAAGAATATCTGTGGGCAAGTTAAAGGTTGGGGCAACATCTTTCCAAAGCAAACTACCCCCAGCGTCATCTTCGCCCTCCAAAACGATTATATGGCCGCCTCACTTTTTGATAATTGCAGAAATGCAGTTGAAGTAGCTCCCTGAAGCCTATGGAGCACGGCGTCATTTCTCTACCAAGTATCATCATTATCGTGCTTAAATTCATTAAATCCGGTCTGGACTAGGAGTGGTGTTCGCAACTCTCGGGACGTCTTTCAACTGGTGCTAGCTCCCCGCCCTCCTTCCCCTCCCTCCTTTGCCTGCGGTCAAGGGGAATTCATTTCTACTTTGCCGTCAATTTAAAGGGATTTAACTGCGTGGTCTTCAGTTAAACGAAGTTGTGCAAAGGTGATGGAAAAATTAGTTTCAGAGGAAGCTCAGCGCCTCTTCTTTCTGACGACTTCCTCTTTTTTTAAGTTTCAGGAGGAAAAAACTGATAACTGTATTTGATGATGTTTGTCGTCATTATTGTTTCTAAAGAAAGGGCAATCACTTCTGACCCTTTGTGAGGCATCCTGAAAACCGAAGGCCTTGTGGGAAATTGATTATACTTTGCAGGAGAGCTGGTCAGCTTTACTGTGGCAGCAGCATTGAGAGATTAAGGCCACGATTTTGGGAAACCACAAAGCAAAGACTAGGCCCCTAATTTCACTTAGGTGTAAACCACAGTCCGGTGAACGTGATCAGTAGACGCTGGAAAATCTTACTGCCAAATATCACCTCAAGTGCTGGGTGTAAACTACTGCATTTTCTTTAGCAGGAAAACAAAAAGAGTTTACTTATTAGGCAAGATTATGTAGGGCTCAAGGGAGCATGCGCAGCCTGGAAGGGAAAATGAAATAGCCAGAAAACAAAATGGTTGCAACTGCTAACCTTCATTTAAAAATTTACACTCAGGAGTCACTGAATTTTGGTCAAATTTAAGAGCATAAAAGGTTTAAAATGAAATTAAAGATAACTTTTGCTGGGGAAGTACCATGATCCTTGCTTTGTCTTTTCTGATGATTCGTTCACAAAATGCAGGTACAATTGAAAAGGGACCCATTTTTTTCTCAGCATTTTTTTTTTTTAAACTGACTAGGGTGCCTTATGTTCAACTACTGAAATTACAGGTTTTCAAACTTTTCTGAAACTCTTTTGTTCAGAAATCACTTCTGCCTGAATTGCTTTCAGACTCTGATTACAGTCCCTCTCATGTTTACCTCAGATTTTTTTGGAAGTTTCAAAAAAAAAATCCCCTTCATCAAATAAGAGAATAGACACATGGAATTTTTGTCATTATCATCTTCTCTGAGGTACTCCAGTTCTTCCCCTCCCCTCTTAAAAATAAATTGGTCTCTGTAAAATCATACTAATAAAGAGCCTGAGAAATTCTTAGGGTGTGTGGCAGGGAGGGAAAAGCAATGAGAGCGAGATCCTAATGTTTGTTAGGCTCTCTAAATTCCATGTCAGAGCAACCCTGTGAAAGTCCCAAGTTTACACACCACTGTCATTCATATCTAGTTCAGCCATAGATTAGCAAATAGTAAGAATTAAAAATAAATAAAAATTTGCTAATTTCCTCCCTGTCTTAAGGAAAAGCATGTTTGGGAAACGAAAGGCTGACTGTTGGCTTCTTCCTTCTTATTCATAAATTAAACTGGACCCAATGTTGTGCTAGAACCATTTTAATATAATTATACATATCTGCCAAATCCAGGAGGAAAAGGTTTATGCATATATAACTTTTCCAGTTAACATCTGCAAGCATAAACGACAATGATCTCAGTTTATAAAATCATCAGGGTCAGAGCAATTGACCAATGTCTTTACTGCTAGGTTTACCAACAGTAAATTTACAGATGAATTAGCGTCCTTTTCTTTCTCTTCTCTTACTCTCCTTGTCCAGAGATATTTTGTTGTAAAGTTTCAGTGCAGCTCACCTCCAGCCAAAGGTAATCTTTTTAGATAAGTACTCAGTTGCTCTGAATTTTGCTTATAATTATAACCTATTTAATCACAGAAGAACCCCTGCAGAGTTGGAGTTCAATGTTGCATACAATAACAGGAGATCACAGTTTTGAAGTCTAGCACAGATTAGAAACCACAGATGTACCATTTATATAAGACACACGCTGATTGTCTCTTAAACTACATATTGACTCCTTATGAACATTATTTTTTAAATAAAGTAGTGCATCTAGGACAATCAGTCGCACAATTCACACAGCCCTGAAAAGTTTTTCAGTGCCAACTACCAGTTGGTCATGAAACGTGAATGAGCTTGAGACACTGTCCATTCCTAAGATTCAACCACGGATTGGCTAAAACGTTGGAACACCTCTGCTTAAGAAGGCTACATATGACCTTCCCTTCCTTCCCTCCCAACTTAGCTTCATTTGATTTTATTTTTGGTTGTGTTTGGTTGTACATGGCTAGAACACTTTCGATCACTTTCCAAATCAGGAAAACCAATGATCTAAAACTATGACAGGATCTTAAGTAGACTGGTTTGTCCATTTCAGGTTGCTGGTTGGCAGGCCCCTCTAAGGCCCTTCATTTTTCCTTCTCTGCCTCCCGGAACTTTGATCAGAAGATGAGTCCGAGCATCATCCCATCTAACTTTTTTAACCAATGCCTGGCTAAAACTGGAATGTCCAGCCCAGTATTTTTTTTAAATCACCCACAAAAGGAGGTTCTACAAATCTTCACAAAACCTGGAATTTCCACGAGGATGTCTGATCTTTATAATCCAAGCAGTCAGCATTGAAGTTAAGCTTCCAGGAGGCAGTTTGGTCCTTATAATCCAAGCAATCAGTGGTTGAGTTAAAACCGAGGCTTGAAGCTCCATATCCCTGGGTGGAGAGAGAGGCTGGGGACTGATTGAGATGGCTGGTGACTGCATTGGTACCCATGGGGCTGAGTGTGGCCCCTGGTCCAGGAAGCTGGTGATGCATAGGGGTCAAGTAAGATCCACAGTCCATGCCCCCAAAGTAGGAGGTTGAGCCAGCATATCCTTGACTATAACCTGAAGCCTGAGTATAGGTCATGGGATAAGACCTCTGCATGCAGGAAGAGGAGGTGGACAAGGGGTCTGACAGTGGGGAGATGGAAGCTGGGCTCCAGATAGATACTGGAGCACTGCTGCTGGAAATGGCTGGGACTGAGGTGCTAGAGGGGGGAGTGAACTGGCCACTTGTTCCACTCTCTGAACTCACTTCCCGAGCTGGAGATGTCTTCTTTTTGGCAGGTCTCACTTTGTTTTGACCTCCATTTTGTTGTTGCTGCTGTTGTTGGCGACACTTAGCTCTTCGATTCTTAAACCATACCTTGAAAGGGAAAGAAATTTCTTTAATGTGGTTTCAATAATTCCTTACCAACAAGAGTGGCTCCTAGACTGTAAATCTTCCTGCATTGGCAGACGAGCTTAAGCAAAAAATCTCTCCCCCACTAAACACTGCATATA